GAGAAGAATGAGGGGGGATTTGATAGCTGCTTTCAACTACCTGAAAGGGGGTTCCAAAGAGGATGGATCTAGACTGTTCTCAGTGGTAGCAGATCATGGAAGAAGAAGTAATGGTCTCAAGTTACAGTGGGGGAGGTTTAGGTTGGATATTAGGAAAAACTTTTTCACTAGGAGGGTGGTGAAACACTGGAATGCGTTACCTTGGGAGATGGTGGAATCTCCTTCCTTAGAAGTTTTTAAGGTCAGGCTTGACAAAGCCCTGGCTGGGATGATTTAGTTGGGAACTGGTCCTGCTTTGAGCAGGGGGTTGGACTAGATGACCTCCTGCGGTCCCTTCCAACCCTGATATTCTATGATTCTATGATTCTAAATGTTCAGTATGCAGAGGGATTCAGTCACATGATTCCCATTCATTTTAATAAGAGATGCACAGGTAAATCTGTGCGCTGAAATTCATAGGCAGTTAATTTACTGTTCCCAATTTTGCTCTCTGAACCTGTGCTCCTGTCTACCTGCACCTCCCAAACACCATGAGGGTACTGAGGGAGAAGAGAAGAGGGAGCAATATACAGTGATTAAGACAAAAGCATTCAGAGATTTTTTAAGTTTATATTATTTGCTATATATGTGCAAGGATGAGAAATGCACAAACAATCTGCATTATCTGGGACAGTGAGTACTTTTGAAATGTATAAATACAATGTGTTTTGCACAGTGCAATTTTTTTGTAGTCATAGGATGTAAGAATTACAGACAAATCTAAAAGTGTAGATGTTTTTAGTGATAGGAGCTATATAATCACCTAGGTTTTTAAATACTACTAATAAAAAAACAGAAAAATATTTAGGATTTTTATTTATAATTGACCTTATAAGTATTTAATTAAATTATCTGAATCCCTGTGATCTGCAATCCAGAACAGATTCTTGCTGAATCCATTCGGTACCTCAAAAAGTGTAGGTGGGGGTTGTATAGTACCAGTGTCTAAAATGAAATACACAGAAATGATTACCAGCAATTCTGTTGAGTTTTGTCCCATCAGCAAGCATTGAGCAGATAAGCACTCTTTTGAATAAAGGAGGAAGGAAAGCTTAGAAACATGAGTAGAGAATATGAAAGGAGATGGCAAAGAAGAACAAAGATTTGTTAACATCAAGCCCACTTCCAGCCACCATTGCTTCTACTGAAATCAACAGACTACTTAAATACTATGGGTCTACTCAGCATTAGTAAGGGTGCAAAATTGGGGTTTTTGTCTCAAAGGGATTTTCTTCTGAGCCCCCCTTGTCAACAGTGAATATGTAACATGATTTAAAGATCAGTCACTAGTGCCAAATATGCAGTGAAGTTATACTTATCTGGCATATGACTGTAATGTATACTGCTTGCATTTATTAGATAGGCAGCCACTTGAGTTGATCAGCTACAGAAATTTCATGAAAAAGAGAGAGTTGCTCACCCACTATGAATAAATGTAGTTTTCCTCACCACTTGCTGAGTCAGCCTCACTTGTGGTCTGAAAAATGAAATCAAAGAGGTTCTGCATATACTTTGTTTTCAACTTGGGATCCTGAGGGCAATAAAAAGGGAACTTTAGGACCAGATAAGGTGGCTTGCCCTAGGCCTTTTGCACAGCTTCTGCAGCACAAACGGAACAGAATCCAGTTCTAACTCCCCTGCTAGGGATACTCACAGGGTGCAGATCCAGGTGATAAGTCACTCCCCCTCCAATCCCCGGAAAGGGGGATATCTCTAGGGAAGGAGGAGCAGCCAATGCATTCTGATTGTTCTCAGCTGGCAAACAGTTCCTGAAGGATCAATGCCAACTGGTACAAGTTAGAGCAGCCCCGGGCTCCCTTAACTTGTGACCAGATGAAGAATGGGTAGAGAATCAAGGAGCCAACCAGCTTCCTGGCAGGCCTGCTCTCCTGTACTCAGTAGCTGCCGAGCACATCAGAGAGTCTGGCTCTCTGTCTTTATAATGCTCACCAGTGGAACTGAACATGAACTTCTCATGTGCTCTCTGAATATGGGACATCTAAAAGAAGCACAAACTGCAAGTGACTTAACTTTTTTCTAGGGCAAATAATAGATTATTTTTCCCCGATCTGATCTTTATATTGACAACTGTTTCACTGGTTTCTTTTGTACTTACTTATACTGAGGTAGCATTCTGATCTGGGAGATGTATTTTGCCTGGGTATAATGAGAAGGAAGAGGACAATGACTTGGCCTCCAGCACTTAGCTAATGAGTTCATCCTGCCAAGAATCCATTTCCATATGGGGCAGTTGGTATCATTGCCCCTTTTCCTTCTTCAGGATATATACTTGGAAGGATTCATACTTCTGTTCTCTTAGCTGCCCTCCATGCTCTTCAAAAAATTGTTACAGACCTCATTCATACGGACCAATTGACTGTGGATCGTTTGATACACATATTTTATTTAAGACCCTATCTGATTTTTTACACAACAGCTTAGTAACACTACTTAATATGAAAGGCTATTGAAAACAACTGGCTGAAAAAAGCAGAGGCTGAGAAGACAAGTGCTCTGCAATGTGAAAAAATGCTGACTATATTTGCACAGTACCAGCCATAATGACAGCATTATTGACGTTCCCATCTGAAGGCAGAACATACTCAAAAATAAAATTACTTATGTAATAGATTGCAACAGATAATCTGGAAGATTGGAGGGAATAGATCTAATTTAGGAGCCATATAATGCCACATGAAAAATATGGCTTGGTGTAAAGGCTGCATTTCTTGTATGCCAAAAAAAAAGAGTTACTTAAAATGCTGTTGTCATTTCTGGACTTTCAGAGGAGTGTCTTTTCCAGCCTCAAATCTGATAGTGTGGACTCTGCTATACTTAAGAGAACAAAGTATGCATGGCTCACTGAAGAAGATTAAATAAAATATCTTCATGCAACAGCAAAATGTGATCTCGCACACACTCGCTCAATTTGGAGTCTGTTAGAAGAAAGACCTGCATGAGAAGCAAAATAAGGTGCATCGCTGGCCTTTAACAATAATGGTGCTATCTGGAGGCAATTTGAAAGATAATAGCAAAAACTCTAAAATAAATTTTGTAAATTGTGAGAGAAGATTTGGAAACATTTGTACACATTTAAATAACAAACCTTTGAAAGACAGTGTGTAATTCATAACTGACATGTTCCTAGCCACAGAAGATGAGATCAAGTCATAAAGAGGCTACATATTTACAGTTGAATATAATCAACATAAAAGAGGTAGTTAAGGTTAAAGTGGCTGAAAGGAAGAAACTAGAAGAAAGCTCATAGCAGGACCTGGTAGGATTCCACATCTGTGATGATATGTCCATAAATTCTTAGTTGGCTGTTCCAAGTCTGGAGGGATGATGATTCACTGTGTACATTTTGTGGTCACCATTTCATTCTCCATCATTTGTTTCACACTCAACCTCTGCCATTGCACTATAGAATATTCTGCTCATGTTTTGTTAAATGTGAACTGGACAATGTTGTTTTGTTTTTAAAAGATGGCAAAAGTACTTCTGAAGAAGCCAGGATATTTCTTCCACCATTGCATGGAAACTGTTGGGGTTGCATCATCTGATACCTAGATCAATGTTTCAATAGCTCCTCTCTGTCCCTCAGTGCCTGGAGAAGGATTCTCCAACTGTTGCACCTCTTCTCCTCCTGATAACACAAGCTAAACAAGCAAAGAGGTGTGTTGGTTTACACACAACCATTCAGTTGGTTTCTCACATATTGCTGAGATTGAAAAGCTGGCTTATATGTGAGTTTATATGACAGACAGAACTTCACTAGTAGTCACAAAATTTGAGACAATAATTAGTTGCCTTTGGTTCTGAGGGGAATGAGAGGCAAACTTCTGCTTCTCTACCAGAGAATGGCATCGTAGTAACTATTCATAGGTGTTATTGTTCTGTTGTAAACCCATATTTTATTCCATTACTTCCCCAAAATTGTTCCATTTGGGCTAAAATTTCTCATGCATGGTCTCATTCTCAAAGTGAATTTGTTTTTGTAACTTCCAACAAAATTGGCTGAAATGAGTTATGGGTGCATTAAAAAGATACATAATACCCTTTAGAACATAATACAATTTTTATAGTTGGAAAAGACAAAAATAGGTTCTTTGTTAAACTTCAAAGCTGCTGGTGGCTTGTGCCCACATCTGTACAGCTTTATATATGAATAAGCTTGGACAGGAACAAGGTTTCAGTCACCAGCAAGGGACAACTACCTCTGACACTTGACGAATTTTCACATATACATAGAACTTTGTTTTTGTTATTTATCAACTTTCCTAGGTGCCCAAAGCTGCTGGTGGGCCTGGATCTCCGTTGCACTATGGCTGCTTTGCAGCATTGAAAAGCAGCAGTATGCCTGAGCAGAGGAATCTGCTACTGAGATGGGACCATTGTAACAGCTTCTCCTTATTCCAGCCTCCAGCATAAGGGCCGTTTCCATGGAAAGAAAGGCACCTCACAACTTCCAGGTGCTGGAATGACCCCTAAGTACCATTGGTTGCAGGTGTAAGACAGAGTAGCTTGCTCTCTTATGCTAGGTGTTGGTGCATTCCAGCTGCAGGACTGGGGAGCTGCAAACATGGTTTCAAGGCACCTGTACCTGCTGTCCTCATCTGGATATCTGCTGAGTACAGCTTGGCTGTTCCACAGAATCTGTGACACTGATTTAGCTAGAGTTTTTTGCACAGGGAATAATTACAGAATTGGGTCCAGAAGCTGGAACTCTGAAAATACACACCCTAAAACACAGATTAATGACTGTGTTCAAACTATCCCACAATATATGTAGGGTTCATCTAGAAAGTTGCAAATGGTGTGTGGAAAAGTGTGCCACCTTGCTGAGTGGCAGTGCAAGGAGGCTGAAGAGAATGACATGTAATTATGACTGTGCTCTTTGCTATAATATTCATTATATACAACATTAGAAAAACCCAATAAATCCAAAAGCCTCAGATAAAAAAAGTTTAAACTTTTTTTTTAATTTCAAAACCCTCCAACTCTTCCTTTTAAAGAAACTCAAATCCTTTCAACATACACTTTTAAATTCCCTTAAACAACACTGACTTTTCCTCAGGCATTACCACACCAACACCACAGATGCAGTGCTTCCTAGCTTTACAGTAAGAGATGAAGAGAGGAGACATCTGCCAATGTGCAGAAGTTAAACTAATAAGGTAGTTAAGAAGTTCTATCGAATATTACATATTTGATCTAACATAGCAAATTATCTATATATATTATCCACAATACAATTATACTGTTAGTACAGTACATTAAAACACTTGAAGAAAGTGCATGTGGTACTTGGAACCAATGTTGTAAACATGCCAGGGCTGATCCTCAGTAATTTAAAGAGGAATTCCCCGATACTCTTCACAGTAGGGACGTCTGTATGAAACGGATCTCCTCTAAATTTTGGAAAATGAACTGCAACATTTCTTAGGAGACTGTTTTGAAATGGCAAAATAAAGACAGTTAAATATAAAAGTAGAAGTATGTAGCTTTGCAAATTTAGTTAGTGACATTGTCAACCTGCATTACAGATTTTCATATAACTGCGGGATGTCCTACTACTACTGGGTAGGTGAGAGGAGAGGATTTTCATAAATCCAGAAGTGAGCACAGAAGAAAGAAAAGGAGAATGATATACCACAGATTACATTCTCGACAGATTGTGGGTCTGACTTTCATTCTTCTATTAGTTATATATAAGTTTCTCTCACTGTGGGCCATCTGCTGTCTTGAATATATTGCATAACGAAAGAAAAATGTCTAACTGCAGATATTTTTCATTCACATAAACTTATCTCAGGTTTCAGAGTGGCAGCCGTGTTAGTCTGTATTCGCAAAAAGAAAAGGAGTACTTGTGGCATCTTAGAGACTAACCAATTTATTTGAGCATAAGCTTTTCTGAGCTACAGCTCACTTCATCGGATGCATTCAGTGGAAAATACAGTGGGGAGATTTATATACAAGAGAACATGAAACAATGGGTGTTACCATACACACTGTAAGGAGAGTAAGGTAAGCTATTACCAGCAGAAGAGCGGGGCGGGGAAAAAACTTTTGTAGTGATAATCAAGGTGGGCCATTTCCAGCAGTTGACAAGAACGTCTGAGGAATAGTGGGGGGGGGGAGGGGGGGGGAAATAAACATGGGGAAATAGTTTTACTTTGCGTAATGACCCATCCATTCCCAGTCTCTATTCAAGCCTAAGTTAATTGTATCCAGTTTGCAAATTAATTCCAATTCAGCAGTCTCTCGTTGGAGTCTGTTTTTGAAGTTTTTTTGCTGAAGAATTGCAACTTTTAGGTCTGTAATCGAGTGACCAAAGAGACTGAAGTGTTCTCCGACTGGTTTTTGAATGTTATAATTCTTGACGTCTGATTTGTGTCCATTTATTCTTTTACGTAGCGACTGTCCAGTTTGACCAATGTACATGGCAGAGGGGCATTGCTGGCACATGATGGCATATATCACATTGGTAGATGTGCAGTGAATGAGCCTCTGACAGTATGGCTGATGTGATTAGGCTCTATGATGGTGTCCCCTGAATACATATGTGGACACAGTTGGCAATGGGCTTTGTTGCAAGGATAGGTTCCTGGGTTAGTGGTTCTGTTGTGTGGTGCTGGTGAGTATTTGCTTTAGGTTGCGGGGCTGTTTGTAAGCAAGGACTGGCCTGTCTCCCAAGATCTGTGAGAGTGATGGGTCGTCCTTCAGGATAGGTTGTAGATCCTTGATGATACGTTGGAGAGGTTTTAGTTGGGGGCTGAAGGTGATGGCTAGTGGCGTTCCGTTATTTTCTTTGTTGGGCCTGTGCTGTAGTAGGTGACTTCTGGGTACTCTTCTGGCTCTGTCAATCTGTTTCTTCACTTCAGCAGCTGGGTATTGTAGTTGTAAGAATGCTTGATAGAGATCTTGTAGGTGTTTGTCTCTGTCTGAGGGGTTGGAGCAAATGCAGTTGTATCGTAGAGCTTGGCTGTAGACAATGGATTGTGTGGTGTGGTCTGGATGAAAGCTGGAGGCACGTAGGTAAGAATAGCAGTCAGTAGGTTTCTGGTATAGGGTGGTGTTTGTGACCATCACTTATTAGCACTGTGGTGTCCAGGAAGTGGATCTTTTGTGTGGACTGGTCCAGGCTGAGGTTGATGGTGGGATGGAAATTGTTGAAATCATGGTGGAATTCCTCAAGGGCTTCTTTTCCATGGGTCCAGATGATGAAGATGTCATCAATGTAGTGCAAGTAGAGGAGGAGCATTAGGGGTCGAGAGCTGGGGAAGCATTGTTCTAAGTCAGCCATAAAAATGTTGGCATACTGTGGGGCCATGCAGGTACCCATAGCAGTGCCGTTGATTTGAAGGTATACATTGTCCCCAAATGTGAAATAGTTATGGGTGAGGACAAAATCACAAAGTTCAGCCACCAGGTTTGCTGTGACATTATCGGGGATACTGTTCCTGACGGCTTGTAGTCCATCTTTGTGTGGAATATTGGTGTAGAGGGCTTCTACATACATAGTGGCCAGGATGGTGTTTTCAGGAAGATCACCAATGGATTGTAGTTTCCTCAGGAAGTCAGTGGTGTCTCGAAGATAGCTGGGAGAGCTGGTAGTGTAGGGCCTGAGGAGGGAGTCTACATTGCCAGACAATCCTGCTGTCAGGGTGCCAATACCTGAGATGATGGGGCATCCAGAATTTCCAGGTTTATGGATCTTGGGTAGCAGATAGAATACCCCAGGTCGGGGTTCCAGGGATGTGTCTGTGCAGATTTGTTCTTGTGCTTTTTCAGGGAGTTTCTTGAGCAAATGGTGTACTTTCTTTTGGTAACCCTCAGTGGGATCAGAGGGTAATGGCTTGTAGAAAGTGGTGTTGGAGAGCTGCCTAGCAGCCTCTTGTTCATATTCTGACCTATTCATAATGACGACAGCACCTCCTTTGTCAACCTTTTTGATTATGATTCTATCTGTTCTTCAGCATAACACGATCTTTATAGTAGACTAAGTGTGGCCAGCCAGCTCTCTATTTGGTTACACATATGAGAAAGCTGCAGAGAGTAAATTACTTCACCTAAGGTCACAATTAATTTACACTCCAGGTGGCTGATCATCCCCCGGCTGCACAGCACCCAGCAGGAGAAAAGCCTGCTAGTTAAGGTGAAAATGGTAATAAAGTGCAGAAAATGCTGGGTACCCCATCTTCCCTGTCTTACAGCAACAGGCCTGGGGTATAAGGATGGCAAAAGGTACTGCACTAATATGTGAATGATTGGAGAGATAGGTATAGTCAAGCCAAAAGTAGGTGGGAAGAAAAGGGAGTGCACATGATAGGGGCCCGTACAACATCATCTCTCCAGTAACACAGACCAGAGAGGTCTCAAAGGTGAAATAAGCTAAAGCAACCGATGGTTGTTTTATGTCCGCATCCTACCTATGGGAAAGAGTAAAGTATGATAGCATTGGAGCCCACTGTATGATGTGCTGCTGCTTGCAAACTCTGTAATACACACATGCCAATTTTCAGTATTAGCCAGTCTAACGGAGGCAATGTGCAGTTGATGTTGCCAACTTATGCAGCCCATGTGCTCCTGCCAAAAAGGAAATCTAAGGGTTTGCTTCTGGCTCCTAATGGCCACTATGGCCCTTGCAGCATCTATATACATTACAGCAGAATTAGCTACATCTGGATTGTCTCTGTCTCATTATACTAATTATAAGCACATTATCCGCACATCTGGACCAAACTGCTACCATTTCTCTATACACTCATGTCAGGGTATCTAGCTGGCTGCTGCTTTTTGTACCTACCTATCTATGGCTGCTTCTCCCAACCAGGATACAACTCTTCCTTTTTACCATGTTTGGAAATGTTGGGCATTCACTGCAACCTTTTCTTCCTGACTAAGATCATCTGCCTATTTGTGCTTTAAGGGAATGATTCAGCCCTTCTCTTTCACCTGACTATGGGCTGCATTATTCCATATAATCTACTGGAAGAAGGGATGGTTAAGAAAACTCTAGGAGATTTTACTCAGAGTTCCTCTCAAATCATTCCATTAGGGTCAGGATTCCCCACTCCCCAAGCCCCGCATAGAACAGCCATGGGACCAACATACGTGTGGCATGCTACAGATCCCAGGGGATGAGCACCAGACCAGAGCCATCCATACTAAGGCCCTATGTCTCTGCACCAGCTGTCTGTTCCAAGGGATCCCACTACACATCCCCATGCTCTTGCCATGAGGCTCAACTGGAACGACCCTACTAGGGACTCTTCATAGCTATTCTGGCCTCAGATACTCTTTGGAAGGGGACTTCCCCACCAGTATGGACTCATTCAGAAATATAAAACAGCACCAGACTTATCTTTCCAAGATAATCTCCTCATGACTGTGGTGATGAAACTGGGCCACACCCTTTAGTACAACTCTTTGATATGTTTGTTTCTTTGCATGAGACGGTATGATAAGCCTCCTGAAACTGTCTTAAATTAAGGGCTCTTTAGATGCTAGTATACAACCAGCTTGAGTTTGGGGGCATAAAAGGGCCTTTTGTGGAGTTCTAACAGCTGAAATGTGGAACAGATGCAGAGCTAAAGCTAAGCATATTTTGAGAAGATGGCAGAATACTGCAGATCCTGAAATAAACATTGCAGATCACAGCATCTCACTTCCATCACTTTTCATCAATATGCATATTTCACATTTGATGGCAGAATTGGGCCATTAAACATTAAAAGTAGCAGCCAAGTTAAAGCTGCCCACCCACACAAACACACACCTTTAAATTAAGAAGCTGATACTTTCATGGTGTATAGCCCAAGCTGTCTCTTATCTCAGGAGCATTAAGCCTAACGGGCAATCTTTTTAAGTACACTATGAACCACTTTTATCATTGTATTATGAAAACAATACTTTAAAAATGCTTTGCACTTACATAGTTCTATTTATCTAAAAATCTCAGAATACTTGACAGAAGTGGGTATTATTATCTCTTTACAAGTAGGGCAACTAACAAAAAAAGATTAAATGACATGCACAAGGTTGCAGAGTTAGTGGCAGTTGGGAAGAGATCCCCAATTTTTTTGCTTCAGTGCTTTCCTAAACATTATGCCATACAACATCCTACTCCTGCCCCCCAAAAGTAGGATTTTCTCCAATATCAAACACTAATATTGTTTTGTTTCCATTTTTTGAAGAAAAATATCAAACAATTTCTTATAAATTTTATTTTGTGTTGATCCTATTTGCTTGTCTCTCTTGAAACTTTGAAAATAAATTCCTCCCGTACTGCTGCTGTTCATTTCTACTAGATGACCTTGATTCCCCATTACTTCCATTGTTAATGAAAAATATTCACTATTTCCCCCCATTAACATCAAGATCTATACGTCTTGGTGCACAAGAGGTCTTTATTTGTGCACCAACATTTTTGCTGATGACAACACATTTCTGGGAACGGGTGCTAACTGTTGCTGCATATTCAAGGGCCATATTCAGAAAAACATCCCTATTCAGGAAAGGACTTAAAGTTAAGCACATGTGTATAATTAAGCACATGCTCAACCACTTTCTTGAGTCAGTACCAAAAAGAGTACTGAAAAATACTGAATTGTGCTTAGAGTCCTATAAAAACTGTGACGATTAGTTTCCCATACAATACCATGATAGTTTTCTTTAAATAGGAAAAGAAACTCTCAAATCTAGATGATTAGTAGATAAACTTCCCCACCAGTTTATAATAATTTATAAGTGGGTCAGATAGTGGTCATGAAGTCTTTGTCGGTCCCTGTAAGCAATCATTTATTGTGACCAGTGGAAAGAACATCCTATTCTGTGTGTTCCTTTGGTAGGATACCAGAATGATGATGCAGTATAAGATCCTTTTCCAAAACCCATGTCTGTTTTCTTTTCAAAGCATGTGAAGAGTTTGATGGTTTAATAGGTAGCATTATATGACCTTCTGCACTGGCAGGTTCTGCCATTTAGACATGTAAGTAAATTTTTCTCTTCACATGTGAAAATGAAGAGTATGGTTTATTCAAAGCTTCACGGCAGAAGATGTGGAAGTAGATGTTTTGGGGCAATAGAAATGCCAGTAGCCAAGAGCAGAATCATGAGTAACTTCTGTTAAGAAAGGTATCTCCCAATTGTAGCTAGCCAACTGGTTTCTGTACACTGTCTAATGCTAGAGGCTGCTTCTGTTTTGTTGAGTACTGTGCAAAGCATTTAGTTGGTAGTAAGAGTTGCAAGGTTTCTTCATGTGATTAAAGAGGCAAAAGAGGCCTTCAAGTACACATCCTGCTATATTCCAGTAAATAAATTACTGGATATTTTAGAAGGATCTTCTACCGAATAATTCACAATTAATAAGCCCATCCTGGATACCTAGGAAAGAAGATACCTAGAAAAAAGAAAATGTATGCATAAGTACAAATAATAAATAAATAAAAATTAAAAATCGGAATAGAACACTTAGAATAATTAATACTATTTTATGTTACACAACCATAGATTTTAATTAATGATGGCCAAGATTACAGATTAATATTTATAAACAAGGATGCATTTCTCCAGTCACCATTTAAAATGCATTTTCATGGGGTGGTCTACTAACCTGGTGGAGATGTGCTACACTGAATTGATGCACTGAAGATCTGAATTACATGACCAAGACTAGTCTCTAGCTCCCTAAGCCAACAAGCGATAGAAATATTATTGAGAAAACACAATGGAAGCACTTATATCTCATCACCACACCACCACCATCTTCTTTAATTATGAGTAAAATGCATCAATCAGCCTAAACACGCAGGTTAGCAAGGTTGTGTAGTTTCTGCCCTATTCACTACCATGCTATACAAGTTTACGTATTAATTATTTTCCTAGCTATGCCCCGTAAAAGGAAAGCCAATTCTAGTACAACTAATACCATGACATACATTTTATTTTAAAATCCAGTATTTATTAAAATAACCCTTTGCATAATCTTTGGTCCGAAATGAGGTTTTCTTTTATTTCATCTTGGTACTACTTTCCCCCAGTTTGCTTCACATTTTTTCCCATTACTAAGAAAATCACTGTAGTATACTGTAATCTAAGGGAACAAGCAAAAGCGTCCTTCACGGTGATATCAATGCTGTTCAGTAGTTCACCCATCATTTTTTGAAATACAGTCCACCCCCCTTTATAACCTGAGGAACACATCAATGATCCCCACAATAAAATGAGCCCCAGAGATATTCTCATGTCTTCTATGGTTCTGATTCAGCAAGGTTCTTAAGCATATGTCTAACTTGAAGCATGTATGTTGTCTCAAACTACTTGAGTACATATTTAAGTACCTTGATGAACTGGGGCCCGTATGACTTGAAATGTAGTGCCATTGCACAAAAATATGACATTATTTTATCTTTAAAAAACAAAATGAAAAATGTTAAAATCCCAGAGACAATTTACAATTTGTATAGAAAGAACTCATGGCAGTCTGATTTAATCTAATTTACATGTAGAGAAAATCAAGGGTTAATGAAGTTAAAATGTTATGTGATCAGAATCAATCCAGGGTCTTTTCTCTGTTCATTATTCAGACGAACAGAAAATGCAGTGAAGTGTTCATTCTTTAAATGTTCCTAATAAAATTCTTAACTGAAAAAGGTGAAGGGTGTTAAGCAATGATGTTAAACTGTTGTGAAACAAGAGGAATTACATTCTGTAGATTCCTTTATTGGCCAACCTGTGCCTATGCATCCTATGATTTATAATCATAATAGCTATTAATCCTAGACAGAATATACAGGAAACCTTCCAAAGTATGAAAACTTCCTAAGTACTTCAAATTCTTTTCTCCCTTTTTTGTTTCCCACACCCAACTACCCATAAAAGACACATTGTGATTTGGTCATGTTTTACACCCACTTTGCACAGGTCTAAATGACTACACAAAGCTGGGGAAAATCAGGTGTGCACTGTATCCACATTTTTTTGCCAAGTTATCTTGCATACTCCTGCCTATTTGGGCATGGACACTTTTCTTTTGACCACTGTCCGCTCCTTATTCATGTCTGTCAACAAAAAATGTTCACTGCAGTCACACACCAAGGCACAAGTCACAAAAGTCACAGGAAAAGTAAAATAAATGATATTTATGTGTCATTTAGGTAGTCAAGGGAGAAAGAGTGTGCCACCCCCTCTTTCTAAAAATAATGCCTCATACAGGTGCCATCTTCATATTTCTCTGGAGTCAAATCACAGTTCAGGTCATCCATATCTTTCTTCAGTGAAAAAAAGTCTGATTTGCAGGCTAATGGAAAAAACAACTATATTAACCTATTGTCAGCATATCTGATCTACTAAATAACATGTATAAAGACTCTCATTGGTCATCCATTCCCATCAGAAATGAATAGAAGACTCTTACCAGATCTTGGAAAAAGAAAAAAAGTAACATCTCCTGCCACCTGCCTCAGGTAGTTAAGAGGAGGTGACAGATAACACCACTATATTGTCTTAAGTGAGTGCTTAGAGGCATATCCAAAAGAGATGCAAACATCTCTTATTTGGACATTTATTCTCCTTATGCTCCTGGTGCATTTTAACCTCCATTTTCCTGACTAGAGCAGTGTGTAGGTGCACATTTCTTATAGCAGCAGTCTAATAGTCTACATATGTATTGGTAAGCAACACAATTACTTTCATGTGTTGTTTCTTTACTTACGTTTTGTATGTCACTTTTACTTCTAAGGTGCAGAGACAAAAGACTTGATTCTTCTTTCACTTTCACCAATTTTACACTTATGTTAGTGGAGTTACTCCTAATTTATATCTAAGTAGGTGAGAGGAAGTCTCCTGATTATTCTCTCATATACAGAGATAACACTTTTGAAATCAGTAAAGTTATTCCAAATCAAAACTGGCATGAGAACCGTGTACACAATTAAGCATATTTTTGTGCCTGTGCAGATGGCAGCTATTCTCAAGGACTATATGATTTAACTAGGAAAAGGTGAATGACTGACACTGAGGTTAATTGTTCAGCTAATAAGTGCTGCTTATAACTGACAAGTGCTAATTATGTATTTGTATTCCAGTGCATACCACAGTGTGCTAGGCATTGTCCAAACATCCAGGAAGAAACTGGTCCCTGCCTTGCCTTGAAGAATTTACAATGTTAGAAAGAACTATGCTAGTTACTTGCCATGATGTGGTTTGGTATCTGTTACTAACCACCAGTGTAGAAATAAAAGATCTTCATAAATTATAAATAAGGAAACTTGGAAAGCCTTTTATAAAATTATAAATACTGTGGGCACACAATGGTGATGATGTAACACAGTTGTCAGCTCACAATTAATTGACTTTGCCTTTGCCATTGCTTTGAACGATGGCTTGAAGTAACGAATATCGCTAAATGACAGTGGGTATTAAAGGAATGGTTGAGAACTTGCAAAAGGCATACATTTAACTCACATTGCCAGAGTATTTTCAGAATATTCAGAAAAGATGTTTTCCATTATATATATTTGATAATTACTTGTACATGCACCCTGGACAAAACTCTGTCCACCTTACAGATAGATCTCCATGTAAAGCATCACTTAATATTTGCATACTGCATACACCTGACTTGAAAATAATGTGTTGAAAGTACTGAAACTAAAATACATGGTGTCATCTATTCTTGGTAATTTTGTCCCTGATGAATCAATAAATACCAATCAAAATTACTTATAAAATGGGAATTACAAAAGTAGAATTTTATTGACAATGGTTCACACTATACAATTAGCTAGGGTAATAACAATGCAAAATAAGATTAAATAAGCAATTGTTACAGAAAAGGAAAGCTAAAGTTCCAAAAGTGACAATGTACAGCAGGCTCTGCTCCTCTTAGACAAGTAATCCAACTGAAGTCAGTTGGGCTACTCACATGAGCAAGATGAGCAGGAATTGGCCTTTTCTTGGTTCCAAAGGTTTGCAGGATTTCAGCATCATGCCTTGCAGGAAACCTGTGAGCACTTGGTATTACTGCATGCCTCATCTCTTACTGCATGCCTAATTTTTACAAAACATTTAATGACATCACCACGTACTATCCAGATTGAAAGTGTTTAGATGAGTAACCATAAAATCTGAGAACTATAAGTCCTCTTTTCATTGTCCTAAACTGTAACGATGTAGAATAATGTGCGGTACAAGATGTCAGATGGTTGAAAATGGTTAAAAGAGCCTGAATCATGGTTAGATTGCTCATGATGCTGTACTACAGATAATATTTCAGCATACTGCTATCCCAAGAACTCAAAATAATGCACCAAGCTTCTTTACCACACAAGCATTACAAATAAGATTGGATGAGGTGACCATAAAGATTTAAGAAAATCTAAAATGTTAAGATCACATTTGCAAATATAACATCAGTATTCCTAGTACGTTTTAGAATAGATATGTACATTTCTGTACCTATCAAACACTTAATAAAAGATGGCTCCTCTAGGCAATTTGCAAACTATAGTTTCATCTAGATATATGTCAGTGTAAATCAGGAACCTTCAGTTCACAGTTTTTCTAAACAAGTATGCCATAATCTATCCTAGTCCTGTTTCCGTCAGACCCTCATAAATCTACCACATTGCACTGTCTTTTCAGAATGCAGTCAAATTCACAAATATTTTAAAGGTATAGTGAAATAAACATACTGCAAGTCTATCATTCTAGTAGTAGTCAGTAATTTCCTTCACCTGCAGTATATATTTCATTTTAACAGATCTTTAATAGACACCAACTAATCATGTTTAAAGCCTACCTCTTTATTATTACCCTTTATCCATAAATTGCTTTTTTTGGTGACCTTAATATATAAAGGTGAAGATAGGCAATCCTTCCATATAAATACTTATCTATATGGTTTTGGTTTTGGGATATTTAAGATGGAACTAGCTGGACAAGACACAACTATAGTTTTCTTAATTTTCAAGTGCCAATATTTAATTTATATTGTTTAAACCATCTAGTACAATTAGAAATATTGGAAGTCCTTAAATGCAGTGTTGTTTTTTTCCTAACATTTTGATATATCCTATTTTTGATAAAAACATAAAAACCATTGTGACATTTATTTTTAATCTTTTAAAACTAAGGTCATATATGGATTTTAGAATATAAAAAAAAATCTTTTCCTGGAATTACATATTATAGTTTTGTATTTATTGAATGCGTTCATAGGCTCCCTTAGGATGTGAGATGTATGGAAATATATGTGCATTACTAAAGAAAGAACTAAATTTATTCTTTCCCCACATCATGCTCTTCTTTTCAGTAAAGGTTTTTAATTCAACACAGAGCTAGAATGAGATGGAGCCAATTTCCTGGTCTATATGTGTGACAAATGCTAAAAGTGGCACA